GCCGATAATCGTCGACGACCAATTGAATTCACCGTGGACGACATGGTTATGTTGAAAGTTTCCCATTGGAAGGGTATTCTACGATTTGGTAAGTAAGGTAAGCTTAGTCCACATTTCGTTGGACCATTCAAAATCATTGAACGTATTGGCAAACAAGCATATCGACTTGAACTTCCAGAAGAGCTGTCTGGTATTCACGATGTATTTCATGTTGGATATCTTCGAAAGTGTTTGGGTAAGTATGATGAAACAATTCCCTTAGCTGAGGTGAAGATTGACGAACGACTGAGATATATCGAGGAACCAGAAGAACTTCTAAACGAAAGAACGACAAATCTTCGGAACAAGACAATCGATTTGGTATTGGTGAAATGGAAGCATCATCGTGGTCCGAATTGCACGTGGGAGAACAAAGAACAGATGCTTGCCAAATATCCCGAGCTACTCGAGAAATTAAGATTCCAAGGACAGAATCCTCAAAAGGAAGAGGTAATTGTAACATACACTTTCGCAAATACGTTGCAATTATCCCCTTTATACGTGTTTATGTGATCAAAACGTAAAATTTGGAAGCAAACCCGAATGCAATAAACTAYATATRAAATAGTCGGAATCATCGTACGAGGCCCGRGGHAAAACAATTGGAAAGAAACGGGTCAAAAGCATCAATATCTACATTACGGATACATAAAAACTGACTTTTATTGGAAGATATTTTTTGAAATATTTCTATTGTAAGTTGTAGATTATCTCTTTACGAATGCGTGAGCGAAAACCACGTCAAAAACGGAGGTCCGAGCGAAAAGTTATGCGATTTTTAGTGATTAGTGGTCAAACCGAGTTTTCAGCCGAGTCAACTCAGCCCCAACTCGTAAAAGTCGGATATATATGTTATTTACCTTCTTTTTCACCCAAAACAGATTCTCATCTCCAAAACTTACTACCAGGGGCGATTTTGGCTTCATAGGGGTGAATCAAGGTTAATCTCTTGATTTGAAGCTAGTTAGAGATGAAACCAATGAAACCTAATCTGAGTTATATTAGTAATATGTTGTATTTAGATTGCCTATAGCCTAACTAAGTTGTTATGATGCTTGATTGATGATTTGGAGCTTCCGAAAATGAAGAACATAGGTTGAACTTTGATTTTCTTCATTAATGGCTATTTTGGTGAAATTCTTGAGTATTGATCTTGTAATCAATAATATAAACATGTAGATCTAAACCTGTCCTTTAGACACTTTTTAGAAATATGGATTCTAAGTTGGTTATTATTGCGTCTAAAAACTGATAAAAAGTTGATTTTGAGCTGTGAATTATAGTACCTAAAATGAGTTTAAATTAAGTTTGGTTAAATTTTTGTTGTTGAATCTTTATGAAACTTTGGGTACATATTACAGGTGTTAAATAAGCTCACTTGGTACTTCCAGAGTGACCGTTGGACGATGTTTAGTCATATATGGACTAGAGCCTAAGTTGGCTCGATTTTTGAGTATCGAAAAGCACTGTGAGTTTATGGGGCTACTTAACTTGCTATTTGCTAGACATGTGTTATCAATTTGTTACTTGCTTCCACACTCATCCATGCTATGTCTCCTTATCAATTTCAAGAGATTATTGGCTATTGCACTCCGTCCTTCCATAC